ACGTACCAGGTTTGCCTCTTGTGTGTCCCATCAAGATAGACATTAGTTCTTGTGTGTCCCATTGCTTACATGCGTGGGGTGGCTTCTGATCTTCAGGCCCCATGACATCACTTTCAGTAGATATCATGTGAGGTGTGCGCGTGATGGCGTGAGTACACTTGTGTATCAGTGTTGTACTCATGTTTCTACAAGAAAATATTCTACTTTTCCGCTGCCATACCCTACAGGAGGAACTCTCATTCTCTCACGAGGAGCTAACAGAGGCCACCGAATTCTGTAACGCAATTTGCTAGAACGCAGCCGATGACAGTGCTAGAGCTTGGCAGAACTTGGCAGGAGTTATTAGGGATTAGGGTGGGGAGTGTACCACCATGAAGTGTCCCCTATGGCCCTATCGAATACTGTGTTTTTGGATAACAAACAGATAACTCGCATTCTCACAGCACCAGAGTGGCATCAAGCCATCAACATATGACAAAACTGGTGAGTAGTTAGAAAGGCCATCATTTAGGTCTTAGGAAGCTCACAAAGCTAGTTGACAAAAACCTCCAGATCACACATACAGATTCATTGCGCGCGTTGACTAGAAGCCGATCAAATGCTCATGCACCATGGATCTCTCCAAAAAGTTCAGTTAAGGATTCCCCTGCCATATCAAAAGATCAAAGGCCTAGTGCGTACGTACGCCGTGCGCTGGACCGATGGTTTCTAACAAACTTCGCTGCAGCCTGCGACACTTGACCCCGCTTGCTGTTTGCTGACAATCAGCACGTTGGAAACAAGGTTTTCAAAAAAGGCTAAATGCAATAGGTTTTCTTTTTCGACCACTCCTTTTCACATATTTGCTGTGTGTTTTTTGCTCAGTTTATAAGCTAGGTAGCCACTGAGCTAGTTTGGACTTTGGGATCGATGTGATCTTACATGGTCCCTTGCCCTTAGGCCTTAGCCTTAGGCTAACTATGATATCCCTATCATGCATAGCTTGGACAGCTAGCTGCATACTATAGGAATAAGAGATGGAGATGCCATATGGCCGTGCAAGCC